CCAAAGCGATTATCGGCCGATAGTGATTGGTAGCCGATCAATCGGGGCACTAGTAATTACGCATAATTTATTGCTATTATAATAGTAAGTAAATGTAACGTGTAACAAAGACACCCTAAAATAAAGTGTTACCAAAAATGAAAATATTTTTAGATGTAATTAGCAAATCTAAAATTATGTAAAATTCCATACTTACCAGCTGATTAGAGACATCTGAGTGGTCTTTGCGTGTCATTCCTTCACCAATGGCTGACTTCATCAATCGAGACAAAGAAGGCAGTACATTGATGGGAGGATAGATCTGTATAGAAATATCAACAATTGCTATTAAACAGCACAAAGGATTCAATCATGTACTAAATAACTAATATTCAGACTGTGAGCTTGTTTCCATTACTCGCCTGTCTGTTATGAAGCTGCCTGTCCACATAAATTTGACCCTCAGTGATGTAGCCGGTTAAATCGGGAATAGGATGGGTAATATCTGTCGACAGGAGATTAAATTAAGCAAGTAAACCATTTATGATGATTAAAGTATTAAAAGAAGAGTAGGAACAAGTAGGTTTTCTAACCATCATTGGGCATAGTGAGGATTGGGATTTGGGTGATGGAGCCATTGCGTCCCTCCACACGTCCGGCCCTCTCGTATATTGTTGCCAGATCAGTGTACATGTAACCTGGGAAACCACGTCGACCAGGAACCTCTTCTCTAGCTGCTGAGACCTTCAAGATGATAGGGATTAATGCACAGTCACGAGTAGCAAGTTTAGCCTTGATGCTAATGGCTGTCAGTATAAATTCACTAGGGATGCCAAATCGATTAATCGCAAACAAAAAAAAAGTTTACGTAATATATGTGTATACTGTATATATTTATTTGCATATAAATATACACAGTGCACACACATGTATATATTTAAGAAATATGTTATGTATATTTTAGTGATGTCAAATGATTAATCGCATCCAAAATAAAAGTTTGTTTACATAATATATGTGTGCACTGTGTATATTTATTAAGGATATAGAAATACACACACACGCATGTATATATTTAAGAAAAATATGTTATGTTTATATATTAAATATATTTATATATGATATAATTTATATGAATATAAATATATTTAAATATTTTCAAAATATATGCTGTATGCGTTTGTCTTTATATATACATAATAAATATACACGGTACACACATATATTACGTAAACAAAAACTTTTATTTTAGATGGACTAGTATATTTATATATTATGCAAACACAAACTTTTATTTTGGATGAGATTAATCGCAATTAATCGATTTGACAGCCCTAGAATGAACACATTGTACCTCTCGTAAAGCCTCGGCATAAGAGCTCATGTCAGTCAATATGACCAGCACGTGTTTCTCACACTGGTAAGCCAGAAACTCAGCTGAGGTAAGTGCAAGGCGAGGGGTGATGATGCGTTCAATCCTGCAACAGGAAATCAAACATTTTGGTCCAAGTCACATTAAAATACTTAAAAATAAAAATAAAAACACTTTCTGGAGTCATTATTTACTCACGTTCATGTCATTCCAAACCTGCATGACATTCTGAAGGATTGTTCTGGTTGCTCTTCTGTAACGCATTTAATTTTCGTCCACTTCGAATCATTTAGACTACGGATGTTTTTAAGGTGCTTTTATGCATATTTGAAACCCAAAATGCTATATGTGTTTGGAATGACATGAGGATAAGTAAATTATGACATTATTTCATTTTTGGGTGCACTATGCCTTAAACCTTCAAGAATATTTGAGAGGATACTGACGTGGGATCATTGGCCAAATTTAAAAAGAGGCACACATTGTCCATGGACCCGTTCTCTTCGAAATCAGACTTAAAAAATCTTGCAGTCTCCATGTTGACCTAAAGACACAAATAACCTCATGAAGATTTCCCATTGGTATGGATGTAGACTTTTAATCTGAAGTGCTCCTCACCCCCATGGCAGCAAACACAATGGCAAAGTTCTCCTCGCTGTAATCCATCACATCTTTGGACTTCTTCACCAATCCCGCCTGACGACAGATCTGTGCAGCAATCTGAAAAACACAGTTACATTACAGTGAGAAAAAAAAACGGTTCAAGGTCCAATTGTTAGGTAATAAGTCTTGGCCAAAATGGCCATTTTGGGTATTTTCCATAATATTGCTAAGTACGAATATTGTCAATTACCATTAACATCAAGATGGCGCCGCAAATGGCAGCCACGAGCTTCGCAATTCTTCTGCTGTTTTTGTTTGTTTGTTCTGTTCAAACATGCGTAGTCTGCGTACAGACACAGAAGAGGAATGTGCACCGGTGCACTGGTTAAGCTCCGCAAGCGCGGCTTTCGAACCATTCTCCCAAGCATTCATCTTGCGAATGTCTGTTCCCTTCTTAACAAAACGGATGAACTTCTCACCCACATCAACAAGGGCTTTTCAAACTCTGCTGCACTGGGCTTCACTGAAACCTGGCTGAGTGAAGACATTCCGGACAGCACACTTTATCTGCCGGGCTTCCAGCTGTTCAGAATGGATCGCATCACAGAGTTAACGGGGAAAACGAGAGATGGTGGATTGTGTATTTACATAAAAACGGTTCAAGGTCCAATTGTTAGGTAATAAGTCTTGAATTAAAATGGCCATTTTGGGTATTTTCCATAATATTGCTAAGTACGTATATTGTTAATTACCATTAACATCAAGATGGCGCCGCAAATGGCAGCCACGAGCTTCGCAATTCTTCTGCTGTTTTTGTTTGTTTGTTCTGTTCAAACATGCGTAGTCTGCGTACAGACACAGAAGAGGAATGTGCACCGGTGCACTGGTTAAGCTCCGCAAGCGCGGCTTTCGAACCATTCTCCCAAGCATTCATCTTGCGAATGTCTGTTCCCTTCTTAACAAAACGGATGAACTTCTCACCCACATCAACAAGGGCTTTTCAAACTCTGCTGCACTGGGCTTCACTGAAACCTGGCTGAGTGAAGACACTCCGGACAGCACACTTCATCTCCCGGGCTTCCAGCTGTTCAGAGTGGATCGCATCGCAGAGTTAACGGGGAAAACGAGAGATGGTGGATTGTGTATTTACATCAAGGAATGTTGGTGTTCAGACGTAACAACGCTGAAAAAGGTATGCTGTCCTAACTTAGAGGCAACTCTTCATTAACTGTAAACCTTTCTACTTGCCACGGGAGTTTTCCTCTTTCGGTCTCGTGAATGTGTACGTTCCTCCAGACGCATGCGCCGCGATGTAACAACTGGCAAAGGTACCCAGACTCTCTTTTAATCATTCTTGGAGATTTTGACAAAGCAAATCTCTCCCGTGAACTGCCAAAATAGGGACTAGGGACAGTAATATATTGGGTCACTGTTACACCACAATAAAGGATGCATATCACTCTATTCCATGTGCAGCTTTGGGGCTCTCTGATCACGGTTTGGTTCATCTTATACCAGCCTACAGGCAGAAACTGAAATCAGCTAAACCTGTATTAAGAACTGTTAAAAGATGGACTAATGAAGCAGAGCGTGATTTACAAGCCTGCTTCGACTGCACTGATTGGAGTGTTTTTGAAGTTGCAGCCACTGATCTGGACGAGCTCACAGAGACTGTAACTTTATATATCAGTTTCTGTGAGGATATGTGCATACCAAGACATTCCTGTCATTCAATAACAATAAACCAAGGTTTACTGGAAAACTCAAGCAGCTTTGTCAGGCCAAAAAGGATGCTTATAGAAGAGCGGATAAAATCTTGTATAACCAGGCCAGGAAGAGACTAACAAAAGAGATCAGTGTGGCTAAAAAAACTACTCTGCCAATGACTCAGTATGCACTGGTCTGAAGAACATCAAGTACAAGACACCTCCCCCACAGTCTGCAGAGGATCAACAACTGGCTGATGATCTGAATGTGTTTTAATGCCGATTTGAAAAGTCCAGACTCACACCCAACACATGCTCTAATCTGCACTTCACACATCCACCTACCCCCCTGCAAACCCTCTGGCTCCCTCCCTCTCCCACCATTCAACCTGTGCTTAAGGTCTGTGTGGAGGATGTGAACTGGGTCTTCAGGAAGGAGAAAACTAAGAAAGCTTCAGTCCCAGACGGTGTTTCACCTGCCTGTTTAGAAGTCTGTGCTCACCAACTGGCCCCGATCTTCAAACAGATCTTCAACAGATCTCTGGAGCTTTTTGAAGTTCTTTGCTGCTTCAAATGTTCCACTATCATCCCGGCTCCCAAGAAACCCAAAATAACTGAACTTAATGATTACAGACCTGTCGCCCTCACGTCTGCGGTCATGAAGTCATTTGAGAGACTGGTCCTGGCCTACCTGAAGGATATCGCTGAACCCTTGCTGTATCCTCTTCAGTTTGCCTACAGAGAAAATAGGTCTGTGGACGATGCAGTCAACATGGGACTGCATTACATCCTGCAACATCCTGGTAGACCAGGGAATTACGCTAGGATCTTATTTGTGGACTTCAGTTTGGCCTTCAATACCATCATGCCTGACCTTCTCTCAGACAAACTGACCCAGCTCTCCGTGCCCACCCTAATCTGATCACCAGCTTCTTGACAGACAGGCAACAGCTAGTGAGGCTGGGAAAACTCACATCTAGGACTCTCACAATCAGCACTGGCACCCCTCAGGGATGTGTGCTCTCCCCACTGCTCTTCCCCCTGTATACAAACTAATGCACTGCAAAATACCCCTCCGTCAAGCTCCTGAAATTTGCAGATGACACTACCATCATCGGCCTCATCCACAAAAGAGACGAGTCAGCTTACAGACAGGAGGTTAAAGAGTTGGTTGTCTGGTGCAGTCACAACAACCTGGAGCTCAACACACTCAAAAAAGTGGAGGTGATCGTGGACTTCAGGAGAAACCCCCTGCACTCCCCCCACTCACCATCATGAACAGCACTGTAACAACAGTGGAGTCATTCAGATTCCTGGGAACCACCATCTCTCAGGACCTGAACTCACATAGACTCCATTGCTAAAAAGGCCCAGCAAAGGTTGTACTTTATTCGCCAACTGAGGAAATTCAACCTGCCACAGGAGATGCTGAAACAGTTCTACTTGGCCATCATTGAGTGCGTCTTTGTTCATCCATAATTGTCTGGTTTGGTTCAGCTACCAAATCAGACATCAAGAGACTACAACGGGCAGTTAGAACAGCTGAGAGGATTATCGGTGCCCCTTTGCCTACCCTCCAAGAAATTTACATCTCCAGAGTGAGGAAAAGGGCTAAGAAAATCACCTTGGACCCCACACACCCAGCCCACTCTCTCTTCCAACTGTTGCCTTTTACCAGAACAGCCAGGCACAAGAACAGTTTTTCCCCACAGGCTATCTTCAGCCTGAACAATTAAAACTTCCGTAACTATACATTGTACATCATGAATTACATATTTATGTTTATACATAGAATTCAAAATTTGTACATTTGTAAACTGCACACTTGTAAATAACATATGTGTACATTAATTTAAAAAAATAAATACGTCTGTATATAGTGCATTATTATTAAATTTTCTGTTTTTCTTATTAATGTTATATTCCATCTCTACTGTG